TATGTTTTGAAAACAATATCAGAAAGATGCGTCTGTTAGCTGCAACACACTGTTGGAGTCATTCTCAGAAGTTTTCTACAGCACGTTCACACATATGGCAAGGTATGGCTATAACCTCTGCTGCAATAATCCGTTCCCTTAGCTGTGATAGGGTGTGAGGGCGACTTCTTAACCCCTTTCTTTTAGATGTCTCCAAAGAAAGAAATCGCAAATGGTCAAATCAGGTGACCTCGCAGGCCACTGTAAATCACCCCTCAGAGACACCACACTGTTAAAAAAAATGGTGAAAAAACGGTCCCACTGGCATTCTAGTGGCCAGTCGCCCCGTGAAAATAAACTGTTTCGCCGTTTTCATCAGATGTTTTACAGATTTCTGGTGTTTAATTAGAATAAAAACGGTGAAAGTGTGTTTCTTTTCACGTGCTGACCAGCCACTAAAACGCCGGTAATACCGTTAACGGTAATTTTTCTAACAGTGCAGACGTCCGGGAAACATGCATTTCAAAACATTGAGTTACATTTGGGCTATGTGAGCTGTAGCCTCATCCTGCTGGAACCACAGGTCTCCCAATGCTTCATTTCAACAATGTTTTCCATCATGGGCTGCAAGAAATTTTGCAACATTGCAGCATAGCAATCGGAATTCACCGTCACGGTTACTCCCTCCTCTGAGAATGACTCCAACAGTGTGTTGCAGCTAACAGCCCCCATCTTCCAGATATTGTTTTCAAAACATAAGTATTCTAAATGGTATGTTATGCTAACCTCTAGGAAAATAAACTTTCTTCTTTATGTACCTCCATTATTCTTTTATTTTGCCTCAAAACTGTTCAATCAATTGATTCAATTCTGCCCCACCCTGTATAAGCTAGCTAACACATTTAAATTGTATATTGTAATCAATATATAACAAATAGTCAAATAGTTAATGACTACTTATAGCCTTATAAGAATTAGCTAAGCTGCTAGCTGCGTACAATGTATTGCACACTTGATGCCTCTGTACCAAAAACATTCAATTTATTGGAACCTAATACACACTAAAGGCAACAAGTTTATATACCAATTTATCATTCATAGTAAATTCAATGTATTACACTCTTGATGCCTCTGTACCAAAAACATTCAATTTATTGGAACCTAATACACACTAAAGGCAACAAGTTTATATACCAATATGTCATTCATTGTACATTTATACCAAACCATGAATAACAATGCCTCAATATAAATTAAAGACAGCCACTCAATATATTTAAATATATGAAAAAATCAAATAAATCAAAAAAATCAAATAAATCCTGATTTTTTATAAAAAAATCAAGTGATTTAATCACATGATTTAATCATTTTGATTTAATCATTGCCAACCCTGCCTCTAGGAAAATAAAATTTCTTCTTTATGTACCTCCATTACTCTTTTATTTTACCACAAAACTGCTCAATCAGTTCTGCCCCACCCTGTATATTGAGAGGTTGAGATTGTATTGACCTTTTAGGCAATTAGAATGATTTTCCACCCTAATACAAATATTCTAATTAAAATATTTGATTTCAATCTTTAAATATGCGAATTTAAAACTAGAAACAAAACAATTACAATTATAAGACTATATATAAAATAAATAAATGCAGTGAATGGATATAAAATATTCGAATTGTGCACATGTTTATTTCAAACAGTGTTAGATTTTCTCATAACATAAGTCTCGTTTCAAGTCATATGAGGTTTGTTTGGTTATCATTCAGTTTAAGTTTAGTATTGGTTTATTGGTCTGAATTAAATGGGAACAGTGCAGTCAGTCACTCAGTCACTACTAGTTGGTGTGTAAAGAGGTAGAGTCTGGTAGATTTATAGGACATAAAACCAGTACCGTAAAATGGGGTTACTTTGACCGGCGGGGTAACTTTGACCACTTTTTGTTTTTTTAACAAAAACCCCCAAAACTCAAAAACTATTTGACATAGAAAAATTTTGTCAATGGCAATCAAAGGCCTAATACTGAGGCTACGTAACACAATAGAAAGATTTAAAAAGTTTGCATATCTAATAGGTTAAAAAATCAAAAATGTGACCCATGAAAAAGAGCTATTATTTAAAGCCTGTCGGAGTACCCCCTCCAATTTTTTTATTTTTTGGTAAAATAACTCCAGGTTTTGATGCATTGTAGTAGAACTCTTCTAGTTACATATGCAAAAGACAAATTTTAGGAAAGTGTCATAGTTTGCAAATGGGGGCGCCGCCCTTCAATGGGGGAACTTTGACCACCTGATGGCAGCCATGACGGGGTAACATTGACCGGCTTGGAAATTAAGTTAAAATTACCATAGGTACCTATATAACATATTTTATGTTTGAAACACCTATTAATGTTTTCTTTTTATGTTTCAGACTCTACAGAGTCTTATACATGGTAATTTTAACTTAATTTCCAAACCGGTCAATGTCACCCCGTCACGGCTGCCATTAGGTGGTCACATTTCGCCCATTGGGGGGCGGCACCCCCATTTGCAAACTATGACACTTTCCTAAAATCTGTCTTTTGCATATGTAACTAGAAGAGTTCTACTACAATGCACCACAACCTGGAGTTATTTTGCCAAAAAATAAAATTGATTATTAGCCATCCATTATGATTCATATACTGTTATTGTTAGTAGGCTAATTGCAACATAAAAAATAACACCTCAAAAAAGACAAAAAAGCTGAAAAAATAAAAAAAATCAAATAAATCAAAAAAATCATGAAAAAATAAAAAAAATCATTGATTTTTGATTTTTTTGATTTAAAAAAAAAAAATAAAAAAATCGCCAACCCTGCATATTGAAAAATTTAACTTATATAAAAATTGCACACTAATGTTGGCTTAAAATTTACAGAATTTGTGATTGACAGAATTTGCATATCTCATTCCAAGAAAAAATGGTGGCCATTTCCGCAAAATGGGGTAATAAGAAACCCCCCTAAAATTGCATTTACAGTAGAACCTTGGTTAGCAAAGGCTCAGGTTAATGAAAAAATCAATTAACAACAAAGAGTTTTGATTAAATTTTCTTTGCTCAATGAAAAAATTTCACTTAATAAAAAATGACTGCATCAGTCATCACAAAATTGTGCATAGAATGTCACAGATAGAATTGAGCACTGGGCAACAAAGAATGAAAAGTAATTAACCTAAACTATGATTTATTTCTCCAAAAAATATGATGATTGTCACTGAAATATTCCTTCCTGTTTCAGGTATGTTTTTTACAATCTTTTTTTGTTATAGTGAAATCACTTGACTCAATAAAAATTGTGCAAAATTACAAACCATCCTGTAAGCTTACAGATACAGAAAAAATTCTACATGGCTGCTGATATGAAGCTTGCAGCAGACATGGTCATTGTCAATGCTCAATGGCATGTCTATGGATACAGTAATATCACATTAATAATATGGTAATGTATGGATAAGGTAATATTATATCAATAAAGATAAACCAAGTAAAAATCACAGAAAATTTCATTTATTCTACATTTACATCATCTACAAAGGAAGAGGAGAACTTCAAAGTACTGTTAGTAATAGATGAGAACACTCTGCATGCTTCAAATGTTTACAAATAGCATATGGAATTTTTTTGGAGATGCCATACGATCAATAACAGGATAATGTATGAATATGGCAATAGTATCATATCAATAAAGGAGAAATGAGTTAAAATCACAGGAAATGTCATTTACTGTACATCTACATCATCTACAAAGGAAGAGGAGGACTTCAGAGTATATACTGTTAGTAATAAATGTCTACACTCTGCCTGCTTCAAATGTTTTAAAATTATGTTCTATTTCAAGTGTCCCTTATTACCCCATTCCCAGGGGTAATTCAGGATGCTTTTATTTGGCATCTGGCACCTTATGAATATTTGAATAGTAAATGAATTTTTTGGAGATGCCATACCATAGCTCTTGCAAAGAGCTTTAAAATGAGCCCATACTTGTTTATGAAATGTTTTATGGTAAGAAGTTATTAGCAAGAAATGTGCAAAACTGTCCCTTATTACCTCTGTTTGACAGTATATTCATGCCTACCTCTGCAAATGAGTTTCCTGAGGAAGTTTTGCATTGCCAAGAGCTCTGTGATATTGTCCATGAAATGAAAATAACATTTATGATGTGCCAATCAAGTTTTAAACTACAGCTTAGTTTTTATATTTTGAAACTGGCAATACTAGCCTTTAATTGGAGCCAAATTGTAAAAAATGTATATATATATATATATTTGGACTAACAACCACGACATTGAGACCGTCTCATCTGTCATCTTCAACCTGGAGGGCAGAGAAGTGCCCTGAGACAAACTCACAAGACTGTTGCTCGCACCGTGCTGGAGAAACCCACCAGCGTCATCATGCGGAGGTGCACAACATTAATCGACCAACGATTGCTGGAACCAACTTAATGTTGAATTGGACCCCAGCTATCGATTTCCAAGCTACCGGATTTGTCTAAAATAAAATTTGAGATTGTTTGCGTAAGGACTTTCTGGCTCGAAATTTTTGTGTTGTATCCTATTTACGTGTATTATGTACTTTTGTCCAACCAAATTTCACTATTCAATGCTTCTCTTAACTTGAAAATGAATGTTGCTACATTCGAAACGTCGTTAATATATTATTATTTGCTAAATCTGCCTTTTGATCTACCAACGTCATCTAAGAATTATTGCCCAACTCCTTGAAAATTCATATGCACTCTCTGGTCATAAATTGTACGCATATAATCAAGAAATTTCTGCCATCTTATAATAATATATATATATATGCATAACTAAGTGTTAGGTATACATTTTCAGCTCATCATCACTGTTATGGAAATTATTGTCCATGTCAGTTCTGCCTATTCTGCTTGAAAATGGTGGCATTACCTAGCATATAATGTATTTTGAAGCAAGGAGAAATAAGATTTCATTTAATTGTATTAACATGTCAAACTTTGCTCCAATTATATGGAAACTAAGATTTTATTTGCAGCCAAGATTATCATTAACAAGGACATAACTGTCCTGTCTGCCAATGCAACTCTTAATATGACATGAATTCATAATTACATGTTATTAAATATATCAATAACATTATTCCTAAGCATTTGTTGTATCTCACAGATATAGTAGTTTCCTCTGTATTACTTATTAGAAGTGCAAGCCTGCACAAGTTTCTAGGATGGCTGGCTTTGGAACAAACTACCAATCAGGAGGCGGTGGAGGAGAAATAAATAGACTGCAAAAATATTCACACACAATTGGCTCCAACATACAAAAAATTGCCCAGAATGTCAAATCTATGCAGCAACTTGTGAACCAACTGGGCACTGAACAGGACAGTCCACAACTGCAAGCACAGCTGTGAGTACCTACTACGTACTTGATATTGCAAGATTTTACAATGTGTAAAATGTTGTACATCACATTAATGTATTAAACTATATGTAGTATATTACATTATAAACTAGTATATATTATTGAAACTAAATGAAAAAATTGTAGTGACAAATTCAATGAAGTTGTTCAGCTTACCATGTATCATGACTCAGATTAAACTTTACATCTCTGAGTTCATCTGGCCAGTATCTTCTAAATTTTCATTGACAGCTTTGGTGATTGAGAAGACCATAGATGCATCATAGCAAAAAAAAATAAAAATAAAATAATAATAAAAATACTTGATATTATCCCTTATCAAACACCAACTATATCTTGAAATGAGAGAATAACTTACATGCTCTGTGTGCAGACATAAGGTCCAGCAGTACACCAATGGCCTGGCAAAGGACACAACCGCTGAACTGCGCACCTTCAAGAACCTCCCTGCGCCCCCAGGAGAGGAAGGACGGGCCTGGCGCATGCAGCAGGACCGCCTCACTAAGCAGTTCACACAGGTCACCTCTACTACCTTGCTTTGTGTTGACTTTAATTTATTTAGAGCAAACTTCTGTCAAATATTTTGACAGTCATCTGTTCAATATTTTGCCAGTCATCTGTTCAATATTTTGCCAGTTATTGGTTGAATATTTTGACAATCATCTGTAGAATATTTTGCCAATCATCTGTAGAATATTTTGCCAATCATCTGTAGAATATTTTGACAGTCATCTGTCAAATATTTTGACAGTTATCTGTTGAATATTTTGACAGTCATCTGTCAAATATTTTGACAGTTATCTGTTGAATATTTTGACAAAAGTCTTTATAATAATGCCCTTGAATGTGGATGAATGAATTATGCCCGTGAGAAATGCACCAGTTGTATCATGTCTCAACTTAATCTTGTCCAGGAAACAGTCAGAAGTTCACATGACTGATTGACATATTATTGAAGTTAATTGAAATTAGCACATGTGAATGTATGCTCATTAATGTTATCAACTTCTAAATTAGCAGCACCAGACAATTTTCTGGTCACTTTCGTATATACATTGAACTAGAAAAGAAAGCTAGTTTCTTTGGCAAATGCAAGATTTCATTTTCTTTTTCTCTTAATCTTTTAAATTTGATTAAATGTAATCAAAAATTGTCTGAGAGCATTGGAATCACTGCACACACTGTTCAACAAATTAGTGGCTTTGCACATATAGTTTGAAGTTCTTTTAATGCTCTCCGCCAGAGCTGAGTGTGCAAAACTCCTGCTAATTTATCACCTGAGTATTCAACAATTGATTAACATTATAATTTGAATATACCATAATAAATAAATCTATAAGTTTAATGGTTTCCTCATGCGAGACCTAATGATCTGTGTTCCTATAAATTATTCTGAAAAAGTTTAGGTTTTTATTTGTTATATCCTGCTTCTTCACTATGTTTCAAATGCATTCAACTTTGTATCCATTCTCTTAGCATCACATTTATCCATTGTTTTGCATTGCAGACTCTGAATGAGTTCCAGGCCACTCAACGTCAGGCTGCCAACAAAGAAAAAGAAGCTCTGAGGAAAGCTCGCGCTGACTCTGACTCGCAGTATTTTGGTGGGTGGTGTGTTGTGATGCCTGGTGTTGGTGGTGTGTTGTGATGTCTGGTGGTGGTGGTGCATTGTGATGCCTGGTGGTGGTGGTGTGTTGTGATGAGGTGGTGGTGTGGTGTGATGCCTGGTGGTGGTAGTGCGTTGTGATGTCTGGTGGTGGTGGTGTGTTGTGATGCTTGGTGTTGGTGGTGTGGTGTGATGCCTGGTGTTGACGGTGTGTTGTGATGCCCGAGGGCGTCATCTAGCACGGCACCATGACATAGGTCTGAAGAGACCCACACCCCTGACTAAGTAAACACCATACTCGTGTCATCATGTTACTGGTTGAGATGAAATAGCAGAAGACGGATAGAACCTGAGCCTTGGAAATAGAGAAGCTACACCCTATACCAGATGGATCAGGCCACGAGCCTGAAACCAACGAAGAAGCCTGACCTTGCAAAACGAATATCGGGCCTTCGGCGCGAAATAGAGGACACTGATCTGAAGCGCTAGAAACCTCTCCCTACTACTACTACTACTACTTGTGATGCCTGGTGCTGGTGGTGTGTTGTAAGATGGGGGAGGGCTGGGTTAAGTATTAGTTACTGATGATATAACTCTATAACAATAGAAGTTATCAGGACTGATATCGTGCAGACCGCGGCAGCTCAGCGCTGGTGGACATCGGTGGTGAGGGCGGCAGCAGCAGCAGCGCAGGCCAGCAGCTGCAGCATCAGCTCGAACAGGAGGAGGAGCTCAGGGCCATCAAGGAGCGCGAGTCGCAGATACGGCAGCTCGAGGTCAACCTTCATTGCTAAGCCTTGTTCTCGCCTTAATATCGCCTTATTATTGTCTTATATTTGCTTTAATATTGCCTTATTCTTGTCTTAATCTCGCCTTATTCTCACCTTATTCTCAGCTTAGTTTCGCCTTAGTCTCGCCTCATTCTCGGCTCATTCTCGCCTTATTCTCGTCGTAATCTCGTCTTAGACTCCACTGCCGCAGTCAGAGAGAAATTAATACTATTTCTTCCTACTAAGTTATGTACCACATTAATATGGTAGTTGGGGAGATTCACGTCAAGAGGCCCGACCTTTTGTACAAGTTGCTAGAAAAGCCTATACCTACACACAATTCTACGATGCTGCTCCTACCTTACCAGTGGTGCAACCGGACAGCAAGAACAGAAACTGGAAGTTTTTGCTCTCATTATGGCTCGAACTGTGAACCTGATTTATGGAGCTTTTAAATTGAGAATCATCGGCTTTTGGCCCATGAAATGATTTTTCCATTATATTTTGGCTTCCAGATTTGTTTTACTTCCAGTAAGTATTGCGTAATAACTAAGCAGGTATTAATTTAATTCTTTAGTAGGTGAGTATTCTGACACTGCTTCTTAGATATATTTTTTTTTCTTTCAGAACATCATGAACCAGATTCTATTACTATGCCCCCAGGTTCCCTGAATTAATTCCAAACTTGTGCGTAAAACTTCATAGTGTTAAAATCAATTCACTATCAAAGGCTGAATATCCTCGTTTTATTTCAGGCGGACATAGGAGACGTGAACCAAACATTTATTTATTTCAGGCTGACATAGGAGACGTGAACCAAACATTTATTTATTTCAGGCGGACATAGGAGATGTTAACCAAATATTTATTTATTTCAGGCGGACATAGGAGACGTGAACCAAATATTCAAAGACCTGGCGACGATGGTACACGAGCAAGGCGAAGTCATCGACAGCATCGAGGCCAACGTGGAGACCGCGCAAGTGAACGTCTCGCAGGGCAACGTGCAGCTCGCCAGCGCCAGACTCTGCCAGGTACTCTACCTTGAGCTCTGCCAGGTACTCTACCTTGAGCTCTACCAGGTACTCTACCTTGAGCTCTACCTAGTCATAGTAATTGGTGTCTTTTGTGGGAAATGTTTTTGAGAAAATATGCTTGTGATGCTGGATTTTCGGCGTTCTATGTATGAGGAACATTTATCGCGATGACGTTTAATGCCCGCCATCGTCTTGAGCTGAACGACGATGACGTGGTAAGCTCGCCATATACCAGTGAGCTCTGCTCGAGTTGTCAGTCCTGCAGAGTTGTGGACACACTTGCATGTGATGGCGATGAGACGAACTGTTCACTACAGACAAGGTTATTATTTTTTTTTGTTTGAAGAGGCTTCAGGCGCTTAGGTGCCATTCATTGTTGAACCTGAACAGCCGTGCGTTGCTGATGTATTGTTAGTCAAGATTGTGCACCAGTTTTATTGCAGTTTACCCTTCATTTTTCTGAACGCCATCAAGGTTCTAGTTAATAGTACACTCAGAGAAAAGAGGTCAGGATTGTTTTTTTTTTCTTATATATATTGGATTAAGGTTGGATCAATATATGTTCGCTAATATTGTGTAACTATTCACAAGAAGATGCGGTATTTTGTGCACCTAAATGCTTAGGCTGTCTTTCTCTCAACTCAATATTTATGATGTTTCATCAAGCAAATTTTCCTCCTTACTCTCCCTAATTCAACTGATCATGATCCACAGAATAAGGGCTGTCGGAAGAAGGTCATCTTGGCCATCATCCTGGCCGTGATCGTGTCCATCATCATCGGACTCATCGTTTGGTCGTCCAAGAAATAATAGTGAAGACTTCGTGACCTCCACTCGCTGCTTTAATACATGCCTACTCTATTTCTCCTATTCTATGAAAACTAAATTTTTAAATAATTGTGTCAAGTTGTCTCCCGTCTGTTATGATTGTGAAATTAAATTCGTTTTTTTATGAAGGAGCCAATGCAAATATGCTCAGCTTGTGTTTCTGTAGTTTCCTTTCCAAGTTTCCTTGTGTCCTGCATCCATTTTTTCCTTTCTTGCATATAATTTGGAAAAAGTTTGGTTGTAGCGATCTGATGGTGTAGGTTTTTGATAACCCGTCCACTAGACGTACAGTGGATCCTCCTATACATAATCGACTAAACACAACATTTAGGTAAACGTACCGTAATTAATTGATTCATTTACGGTGCATTTTTCAACAGTGTTGCTGGCTGCTACAGCAAACTTAGATTTTTTAAAACGGTTTAATTGTGATGACCGAGGTAGCTCCGTCTGATCTTCGGTGTATGTTATTTGATTATCGTCATGAGTGTTGTGCAAATCACGAGCTAATGAAAAGTCAGCGGTTCTGCGACATGATTTTTTAATAAATATTCTTGAGAATCCTAACCTAGAAAAATGATTGAGTCAAGACTACAGAATTTCAAAGTGCAGTCCTCTATGTCTACATCTTGAAATATTCTTGCTCTTCTGCTGGGGACCATTCCTTTTTATTTATGTGGCTCTATTTCTGCTTATTCTTCGTCAGGCGACATCAGAATAATACTTTTTCCTTAGCTATACCTGAGTTAACTTTCTATCCGCGAATATATATTAAAAATATATATTCTGTGAGATGATCCAGCTTGTTTGGTCCGAAATAAAATAACCTTAGCAAGTTTTTTTTTTTTTTTTTTTGCTTCTGGCCCAGCCCGTAATTTTGATGCGATTGGATGACGGTGACTTCTAACTTACTAGTTTTGAGAAGAACGTTACAAACCTCATTGTATGTCCCGTTTACTTGTGCCACTGCATAAAAATAGTAAATGAAGCTTCTTTTAATAATGTATGTTGATAGAATTTTTGATGTGTAAATAAACGATCTTGGTCAAGTGAATAAGATGGCGTTGTGGATCGATAACGTTTTGCTTTATTATCTTAAAGGCGTTCGCTGAGATGTACGGTTGAGTACCGCGAAGCTCATACCCTTTCTCCCTCATTAAAAGCGAGTAGAGTTTTGTTTCCGAATTAATTCTATTAAGCATTTCAGGTGTCTCAGGATCAGTTTTTTGATTCCCTCTTGTGTACGAACGAAAATTGGTTAAGAATAGTAAAAATAAGTTATTCGATTTATGTTAGAATTTTTTTTTCTACATGTTTGTTTCACCTTCTCACCCGAAAAGAAACAATTCTCGTGTAAAAACGTTCTTCCGGTATTAATGTGGAATTTGTATTTTGTTGTGGATTTTATTGTGGTTTAATTTATTTTAATTTTATCATATAACTTTTATTTATCGTGTTTATAATCGTCAAAGCAACCCGACAATGGCGCATGAACTGTATAAATTAATAAATGATAAAGGGATCAGAGTCCCGTCATCTTGCTCCACTGTAGCGTAGTTATTCCTCGAGTTTCGTCAGCTTGCTTACTGTCACAATGTAGAAAAAAGATCACTTCTTATCTAGAATAAACTGTTCATTCCATATCAAGGCTTGCAAATGTTATTGTGTGAGCGTCAATTAAATTGATAACGAAAATATATCTTTATGCCATCTTCATGAGAGTGTTTTTTGAGCTATTTGTCTGAAACTCGGCTCAAGTCATTCATCGGAGAGTTTGTCAAATGTATCTTCACTCTATAAATATTCCACAGACACGTCTGTTGTATTGTTCACGGTTCACGAGCTTCACATTGATCCGAAAACACTATAAACTTCGATAGTATAAGCTTATATATATTGTTTTTACTCCTGTAAGTATGGCTTTGGCTGATGTATTATATAACGCTAGTGTAGGCAGCGCAGACAAGTTATTCCATGTTGTATTTATTTATCATCGAACAACCTAGCATTATTGTGTAATGTTATCCTCCATAGACTGTTTTCTACCCCAGCCTTATAATTGGTATGTGTATGTTAGCTGAGTTAAGTTCCTCGATATATAATAGTGCGTTACCAGCGTCATGGGCAGGTATTTTGATCAGTTGTGCTGAAGAAATATTACTTGTAATTTGTCTATTTACCTATCTCTTTCAGGGTATTTGTGTGCTCATGATACAATCATGGGATATTAGTGGAATCTGGATACGCAAGGAAAGTGTTGAAAATGATCCTGAATTTTAGTAACTGTCAGATTTCGATGAAAAAAAGTTATTGATTTATCGATGACGTGACTAAGTTGCATACTGCCTCGACTTCACCTCACCTATATACCTACGTTTCAAATTTGTAGCTTACTTCTTTTAGTAATGTAGTTCATAATTTACTTTACTTTCTTTGTTAATTGTCGGCAATTTATTTGCTCACCTTAATTAGCTTAGTCACCTTGACTTTCTGTTATAAACTTCAATTTTGTACTCTCATGCATCGACAAATGATAAGTTTAGGACATTACCGTCCAAGACCGCTGGTAGCCGCTCTCAGATCATCTTGCCACCCCGCCCTCCTGGGGCCATACCTTCAAAATTCGCTAAGTGAACGTAAGTACTTACGCTCTATTTTCTTGTATATGATTGGTGGATTTTGCTTGAAATAAGGCCGTCAATGATTGGCTGATGAACTAACGATATCTTAACTTTGTTTGAAAGTATGGGCCCTGGTCCCACGCTGACACGCGAGCATCGCTGTCTATACGCACAGCTTTGGTCTCTGGCCACCGACTCTCACTTGCTCGTATACCTTCAAGTTCTCTTAGGAACCATCTCTTCATGACGCATATCATGGCAAACAACATTGGCGCTCGAAATTGAGATAGTTTTTTTACTTCAATAATCGAGTGACTACCGGTTTACAATTTTGTGAACCTTGCAATTATGAGATGTATAAAGATGGTTTTATTTACCTCTAGTTTCTGAAATAATTGTAGGTATCTTCAGGGGGATCTTTTTTAGGCAATATAAGAAACGAGTTGTGCATTATAGAAATTCCTTAATTCACCGCTGGGTTTATTCGCCTCTTTACTTATCTATTGTACGCTAGTGCCATCATTTTAATTGTACTAACGTCGACATCGGAAACTCATTCGTACATTATTTGATCGCGGGCAGACGCGGCGTGTCTCACGACGCCACTCGTAATTAGCAGACCATCTTGTATTTCATTTGATCCTCTATTGGACTGAACATTTGACCCATTCTATACCTGCCTCGATACACTCGTATTTTTATGTTCACAAGCTTTATGAAATTTATTATGTTTAGTTTGTCTAAAGTAATCCCTTTTTCGTATAACTGATTTTGGGTGCATTGCATTTTGTATTTTGCTGCACATTATATCTTTCCCCTAATTTTAGTCGTGATCTTGCTTCTTCTATTACTTTTTTAATGTCGTACGAGACGCAATGCTCTACCAATATATTCTTCGTTGAGATTTTTGTTTGTAATTTATCTTTGTTTCATATCTTCTTACATCTCGCTTGAATTTGACGCTCATTCCATAACGACAGCCGAGTTCTGATCTGTGAAGCGTTCAACTTCTAACAATATGAATATTTTATCTTAACGAGATCAGTTCAGCAGTGCAACTTAAAGCTTCGTGGGAACAGGTTTGCCTATGAATCAATCTCTCGGGGTCCTATGACCGTTCAGTGGATTAATTAAGTAAACCCGGAATCACAAAGGGTGTTATGCATTTTCATACGCATTGATATTGTACAATTTAGCTCTCCGTATCATGATTCTTTGTGTGCTTACCCATCACAATAATGGGTAACATGATAATATTCTGCACGAAGAATAACTTGACAATCGTTTATCATTGGTTTGTTGATGATGATCAGTAAAACTCAGCATTGAAAGAGACTTGGCTCGTGGAACGCTTCGACGCTCTGTTCTCTTCGAATTCTCGTGTAATCCTTTTAGTTGTTGATTCTTCTTTCCGTACTGCAACCGTGTCTATCTATAATCTCATATATGTGATATTTTTCTGCGTTTAACATGTTGCTAGATGATGGAATAAACTTATGTATGGTATTGATCCGGCCTTAATTACACATCATTGCGTTTGATTACGATGACACCCGCAGGGGCAATAGTGATAGACTATTGTGGGGAGTAACGACCCCCCGGGTCAGCCCGAGTCTCAGGTTCTGAACAAAAATAAATAAATAAAACGGTATAACACCTTTCCATTGAGACGCACAGCTACATCAACATTGTAGCTCTGCTACCACTTGAACTCTCATGCTTGATGTCACCTCTTGTTATTGTGTCTATGTTATCGTGTCGACAATGGCTCTGATTTTACGCTTCGACGAGAGGCTCTAATGGCCGTTGACATCTTCGATTCTAGAGAGCATCCCTATATCCATATCATCCATTTAGGAGAGCATAATTAAGTTAAGCTGCCAAATCTGTTCTGAGGAGTTTCGATCAATTATGACGGAGACAATGTTGCGGTGATAAGAAAACAATAGTTTCCTGGGAAAAGTTCTGTATGGATTGGCTAGGCTACGTTGCTAATACGGGATTTCTTTTTCCGACGATATCCAACTTCAAGTATTTAGCTGCTTGGAGTGCATGTATATACGAGCACCAGTATTGCTTATATTTACTCGATATCAGTCTTAAAGACCTGATTTTTGTTTCTGGAGCTGCGGGGGAACAAATTGAGTTATAATTAAGGAATATCTCGTTTATTTCTGTATTTAAAAAAAAAATACGCCAAAAACATCGTAAGTTCGTTTTGTGGTTCGATGCTAAAGTTGATATTACTTCCAATCGATTATATATTCAGGTGTATTTTTTAAATTGCTTGACAATGACTGCTTAGAAGAGGTCTTCCATGTGATTTAGTTCATGCAAAATTCGTTGTTATTCCTGAGCAAATTAAGATGGGCGTTGAAGGCCTGAGACACTACATCTTGTGGCACCGCAAGTGTTGTCTGGAGGAGAGCCTCCTGCACGACTGCCGTGTCTTCATTGATGGCAGCAACCTTGCTTACCTCCTCTACAACCGAGCACCTGGAGTACAGCCCGCGTTTGGGGGTGACTACGACAAGTATGCTGCCTATGTAACCCTCTTCTTCAAGAGGTAAGACGTGGCTTGTGTTATGCTCTTGTGTTTGTTAAGCGCTTTTCAAATCAAACTTCCTATCAAGTGGTCGACTTAAGCTCATATTTTTCATTTCATTGACTACTAGTGCGCTGCCTAAATCACTACATTTGTCAGGTCAGTAATGGCTCATTACATTATTTCCTTGAACTACTTTATGTCCATCATTCTACTTTGTTTTGTGGGTGGGAAGCTGGGTTTGTCAGTGATGATACGACGAGAGCGAGTGGTACCGGAAAAAGTTGCCCTCTTCCTATCCTTTCTAATTTACACTCAATGGATGTTGCAGAATTTGTTTTTAATTTTATCAAACCATGATGGATAAATACCGGTACATCGATCCATGCACGCTAGAAAACAAAACAATTCACAAGAATTACTGTAATCTACTGTGACGACATTATAGGGAGACTAAATTATGAATGCCTTGCTTTTTGTGCCCACTCAAAGTGATGGAAACACTAAATGCATATAGTAGCATAAATTACCCAGTCACATTCTTTATGATATTTATTCTTTTATCTGAACTGATTTATTTTCCGTCTACACATAGTTGCTTCTAAGTTGTAGTCAAACAAATCGTTGACTAATAATTGCATCTCTTAGACCTGGTCTGTATTGTACGGCAGGTTGCAGCAATGCAAAATAATAATTGCATCACTTAGACCTGGTCTGTGTCTTGTACGGCAGGTTGCAGCAATGCAAAATAATAATTGCATCACTTAGACCTGGTCTGTGTCTTGTACGACAGGTTGCAGCAATGCAAAATAATAATTACATCACTTAGACCTGGTCTGTGTCTTGTACGGCAGGTTGCAGCAATGCAAAATAGATGCGACGGTGATCATGGACGGCGGGCAGCCGCGCAACAACATCAAGCTACACACGTGCTCAACACGACTGCAGACGACACTAGAGACTTGTCTGGACTCTGTGCCTCTGACTCCACAGACACGCGTGTTTCCCCTGCACGCGCGCGCCGTGTTCACGGCTGCCGTGCAGAGACTTGGAGTTCTTGTGCTGCAGAGCGACGCAGAGGCTGACCGCGACCTGGCCTTCCTTGCGACGAGTTTTGACGGCGCTGTCATCAGCAACGACTCTGACTTCTTTCTCTACAGCGCCAGGTTCATCCCGCTAGATTTCCTCAGGTACGCGAGCCTCAAGAAAGCTGTCAACAAGGACGGGTCCCGCAAGTACATGATGCCTTGCAAGGTCTTCTTGCAAAAAAGATTTCTGCAGGTAAAGCACTCAATTTCAGTGGCATATATCAGTTACTCCAATAATCATGTTTTGTTTTAGCTACCTATCGAGCATCAGTATGGCGAGTCAGTTACGAATTTTTCAACATTATCTACACTTCTGATGTATTCTTCTAGCTGCCTATCAAACTCACTATATTCCATGGAAAGACAGTTGTAAAGTTTTCAATTAAACACATTTCAATTTAAATTTAATTAGCCTTGACATGTTTATTGACTCAAGTCCGACACTCTAATCAACATAATTTTTGCAGGGTACTCACATAGCCTAGCATTAACGCACATTTAGGTATTGGTGAACCGGTTGATTGGCCTTTACTTTTTTTCTTGAAACAATTCCAGAGTCTTCTTAGCTAAAATAAGCTGCGAGGCATGTAGTATCATTTGTCTAGTAATGAATTTATGTAGCCATAATTATGGGTTTAAATTTTGTGCAAAAATACTTGCTTTGCACAACAACGTTAGCGTCCCAGTTTTATATGTATGTTATATAATTGTCATGTCGTTTTGTGCTAAGGTTTTAAACAGCATTAGAATATATTGAAACCCTACGCAACCTCTTAGGAAAGCATCAATTTGAACACAAAAATAATGTAGAAAGCTTAAATATGTTATTAGTCGAATGTTAATCACAATCACTGATTGCTCGACTTGCAGGAACCAGTATTGCCTGCACTACATCAATAATTTGATCAGATAAATTCTTACCTCCGCCATACTTCCTCAACTCATCCCCTCGTCTATCAGATACTTCTACGAGATCTTGAAATCAAAATGAGATCAAAAGTTCTATGAGCCCATGTTAAACGTTACAAAAAAAAAATGGTCTCAACTTTTTACCCTAATTTCGGAGGTGATATAGCTGGTCTTTAGAGATGTCTGTAAATATGTGTGATTTTTTGATGTCGGAAAATCCCTTCGCTTTCATACTGAGAATTGGAGTCCATTCTCTAAACTGCTTTCCTTCACGAAAAATTAAAAGCAGTTTCATGTCTTTTCCCAAATTAAATTTAGCTACACATTTTTTATCAGAATAGTAATCGACAAGGATAAACTAAGAATTAGTGCGTGAGGGATCTTTACGTCAGAAATTCACCTTAAATTCCGTTGCAGCTGAGCAGCCTGAGGCGGCGGCACCTTGGCCTGGTGGGCGCGCTGAGTGGCAACGACTGCGTGCCGGCGTCGCTGCTGCAGCGCTTCCACCGCCGTCTTGTGGAGCACAGCAGCAGGAGGAAGACACACACCAGGCGCCAACACGTCATCAGATACGTGCTGCTCTTCCTCAAGCAGCACCGCACCCTCGACACCATGGTTCTCATCGATAAGGCCGGTTATATTTCTTGTGAACTAATTGTATTTTTCGATATTGCGGTCGGTTATCAGTTATAAAAGATTTTTGTTACATCATCTCTCTTCTGCGTTTTTGACTGTGATCCTATAGATTTTTGGACGACTTCATCAATATGCTGTGTATAAATTGAATTCATATCCAAATGTCTTTTTCATGCTTTTGACAGGCCTCATTCGATGGCAACTTGAAAATTTTTTCATTCCAACCATTGGTGTTCAGCAACAAAACGCTGTCGACGTGAAATGTCAGTAAGAATACATAAGAACGAAATTTATTTTGAATGTGTGTTTGCAGGTGTGTGGTGCATCTGACGAGTGCAATGCGGCGAAGTTGAAGGAGCTGTTGTTGCTCGTCAACGACTCGTACCGTCCTCAGAGCAGCCTGCTCAGCTTCTGGCTGCAACAAAAATATCCGGACACACCGCAAACAAATGAAGAATCTGCTTCATTAATGAAACTTCCTCTTGCTCCTTCGCAAATTTTAGATGCTGATCTGGATGTGGTCACTGAAGGAGCAAATTTAGCTTCAGATAATAATGAGGATGATAGTGGAAGTCTTAATGCTGGGCAATGCACTTGTGAGAGGCCATGGCAGCACATCACAAAACGCGCGCTCATTGTCAGTGATCACAACCGACCGGCCTCATTCAATGACAGCTTGGACAGTCTCCCCCAAAATGAGAACTATAATAACGGGGTGGAGGAAGAAGAGGATGGCATCGGCGATATGGGCAGCAAGAGTAGCGACGAATTGGAATCAAAACTTCCAATGGATGACCAACCTGTGACCAAGATTCTGCTTGATGGAAATTGTGAATCGAAGGACAATCCCGATGTTGATTTTTCAACTGAAAAATTCGAGTCCGTCGTTGATGTTAAGAAACCTGATGCCTCTTCTGACTTCGAAAATGATACTGAAATCGACAGAGAAGAAGAAGATATTAAACTAACGGGCAGGAAGGGACAGAAAAAAGATCTCCAGCAAATACGAAAGTTACGCAAAATTCAAAGAAACCTATCAAGGAAAAAGGGTATCCCCAAATCGGAAAGTTCTGCTAAAGAGAAACCGTTTGACAGCACCGGCATGAATGCCGAGCAAATCCTCCGTCTGCTGGAGAAGGAAGAGAAAGGCTACGAGAGCGGCGATCGGGAGTCTATTGACTCTGACTTCAGTGAGGCGGATGAGGCGTGCGCTGAGTGGAGTGACGATGAGGCAGCCGACCGAGTGGTGCTGACGAAACCTGGCAACTGTTGCCACTCAGACAGCAGCCTTGTCACCAGCTCGGGCTTTGGACTTCCTGGCTGGCTAGTCTACGGTTACCGTCACTCTTACGTCACGAGGGAAATTTCTGATATCGTCACGAATACGTTCTGCATATCACCTCCTCAGGTCGAAAACGCGGCCTTGGTAAGCTGTTACAGATGCATCGAACCTGTCATGAAAATGATAGTGGTGATGGTCCGTGGTGGTGGGTACGATGATGATGAGGTAAATGACACACCCGGCGTGGTTCGTGGCTCTGATGGAGAATTGTGTGCCAAAGATGAATTAGTGAGTAACGAAGCGGGATGCGAGTCGCAGCGCGTTCTCAGGGAAATAGAAAATAATGCAGCATTTCAAGGAACATATTCTGTATCCTTATCAGACAAAACTTCTGTAGTGCACGATAAATCTGAAACGAAAGTGACAAAACGAAAATCTAGAAAAGATCCTAACATACTGCGCTGGTTCATCCGAATGAAGAAAGATTTACACATAGAGAACTTTGCTTTGGATAAGCTCTTTCTGAAGCTGAGAGAGACAGCGCCAAGTCTGAAATGCATTGAAACGAAATCTTTGGAAGAGCGCAAGAGAGTGTATTTGCGTATGATCCTTTCCACAGCTCCCGAGGAGATGCTGGAATTGCCAGATACCGTCGCTTTTTCGTTGTGTTTCATCTGCTACTGGTTCAAAAACTCGCGCTCCAATCCAACTGAGAATCATCTTTTGAGTGTGTTCTTTACTTGGTTCATTTTTTACTTTGTTTATGGTAGAGTGGAACCGGTTATTCGGAAGGGCCCGAACCTTTTTTGCCTGCACTGCTGTCTTGCTAAATTTTGTGCAACATCAGATAGCAAATTGAAAGTGGTCGTTGATAAACTGCTTTGTCTTAAAGAAGCTGACTTCAATTGGGGTTCTGAAGAGGAAACTTCACTCACGAAGCAGCCAAACAATGAAAGTGCCAACCCAGCCAGTGGTCCAGTCTCTGTACAGGAGCTGCTTAGCAACTTGCCCGTGTGGGAATGCGATGCTGTCAACAGAAGAGTCTCCAACCTCCACACAGCCGTGTCTTTTAAACATAACAACTACAACCGGTCCTTCGTGCACAGTATGAGCGAATATCAATCATGCGTGCATTACCTGAGCATACTTAATGGTCTGTTCATTGCTCCCTTTAATCCTGTTTGTATTGATCAAATCTGGAGCGGAACTTTCTGCTACAGCGTCTACACGAACCTTTGTCACTTAGGAGAGAAAGGCTCCCGTTTCATTCCCATGCTGTTGGGTCAGAGTTCTTCGTTGATACTGCTTTTCACATCGCTTTACGAAACAGCAACCAAAATATTAGGTGCAAATTTCCGTCTTCCTGAAGCTAATGCCAGCATTCACGTTATCCTGGAAGACGTCTTGAAGGAAATGTTAGGGAAGAAGAAACCTGCACCGCCAACTAAGAAAAAATCTGGCAAACGTCCGTGCTCCTCCAGCCAGTGGGTCAGAGATCGAGCAGGTATTGAGTTTGATGACCTGCTACTGTAAGGAACAAATCGTCGCAGTCGCTGTATCTTTCGGCGAAGCTCCAATTAAATATGATGCCCATAAATTGTGTTTTTTTTATCGATTACCGTCATGAATATATGACACTATTGAAAATTTGGTAAAAAGATTGCGGATGTCCGTTTTTTTCCGAGGACATTACTGCGGTAAGTAATGCTCGCTTTTCATTTATGACAACCTTTACATAATCGCTTGACTGATCTCAACATCAATAAATGTTGGAGGTAGAGAGTTGTGCCCGTTTTAAGCAGTCGTTATTGTTTGTATTTATTGTTAGATGCATCGGAAATAGGCGAAGAGGATTTAGGTTAGCCTCTCAGGGGGTACTGAGACGTGGCAGGACTTCACCACATCTGCAGTATTGCGGGGTATTTCGCGATCCCCAGAGGTTTCCCCAGCGACCAGAGATGACGTTGCATTCTCATTAGTAAAAGTTGACCTGTTTTTTTCTTTAAAGAAAATGGGGTTTCATCTGTGCTTGCTCAGGGAGACGGAAGCTGGCTCTGTAATTTCCATTGTGGCTGCTGTAGTCCCTTTATCGGCATGACAGAAAGTGCCCTGGGTTTTCTTGTCTGTGTAGACTGTCGTGCTTGCGAGTAGCTAGTTGGCTAGAACTTTAATAGGCCTGTTGCTGTTAGTTTGCAATATCGACCAAGCGTGCTATTTTCATCCCAATTGCAATGCAGTACTTTATATGCTTACTCCACATTCATCCTCAAAACATTTTTCACGTCATTTCCGATCAATATTGATATTTTGTCCCACATTCTCGAGTGCCGACATTCTAGCCCAGTGACGTCGCTGACAGGTGTGGCCCACTGCAGTTGCTATGTTACGAAGCTTGTATTTGTGGCGGAATTCAATTTGTGTTGAATAGCAATTTCGATCGTTGTACATTGCTCCTGACTCGGTAGCTACGTAACTGTAGTGAGACACATAACTTTTTAGCTGAAAAATTTCATTCGTGGTCCATTTTATCTGTTATAATATGAACGTGACATATTATTCCATAGTGTCGTAACAGCGTCACTTGCTCAAACTTGTCATTCATTCACTGTAGATCGCTCTCTGCCAGTCTGGCATTCTTTTCTACCAAAACTGTTCTGAAGTGATGCATTCGAAAATTCCGACTACTCCAAAATGACGCATTGAATCAACAAACATCCGTAATTTATCCTAGCTCTTTCTGGACTTGGACAGGCTTGCAAACTCTTGCGATGATTGTTGCCTCTCTCAAGCATGTTGATAAACGCTCCTAGAATTTCATCTGGGATCAAATTTCAATGAGCAAACATATTTTTTTTCAGAATCTCATTATTTTTGGCTGAGAAGAGAGTGCTGAAGAAATATTGCTAAGAAATGATCGCATTCGATGAAAGTTGTAAAGCCAAGCTGAGCTAAACTTGAAACATCGATATTGTGATGCAATTTTAGTTCTCAACGAATTTGTTTCCCGAAATATCAAGAAAGAAATCGGCATGTCTTCCACACGCGCTTTTTTTGATTGGTTGGTGGTTTCTGTCACGGGAGTGACTGGAGGTGGCAAATCTGAACTGTGCACTTACTTGTACAAAAATTTGCCAAAAACGACCAGACTACTTAGACAAGATGACTATTTTTTTCCTGAAAATTCCCCTAAACATATCCCGTGCTCGGATGGAATGACGCATTTCAACTGGGATGTTGTGACAGCTCTCGACATGGACAAAATGTATGTGGACATCGAAGAAATCATTACGTCGCCACCAGTTCTCAAAGAGAAAGAAAACATTACGTATACCAACATGACTATAAAAGATCAAGCATGTGCTGCAACTTCTGCTTCTGCTGCCCTGAAAACTCCTCAGGTTGAGCCTAACTCACACCTCGCATTACGGCGACCGGTTCTCATATTGGATGGATTTTGCATTTTGGACGACTCGCGTATACGCAGTCTCTCTGAGTTTGCAATATTTTTTGAACTTTCACGAGAGGAATGTCTCCGACGACGGCTCTTGAGAACTTTTGATCCTCCTGATGTCGCGGGATACTTTGATGTTTGTGTCTGGCCCATGTACGAGCTGTACAGATCGAGGTGCAAACGGCAGTATAAAAACCAAGTGGAAATTATGTTTCTGGCAGGCGAGTCGGATATGGACAAAACACACAACTCCATTTTGAACCAAATTATCAGAGCTGCAAGTTGAGTTCCAGTATAAACGGAAAATTTATCTGATTAGAAAAAGAAGCGTATATTTCGTAGACTTAGTAATTATTCTTAATTTTAACTCTTTTCCGGGATTCGATTTAAAGTAAGTGGTACTCGGATTTCTGATACTCCCCAAGTTTTTATGTTAATCTTGAATGAACCATGACCAATTTGTTCCTGCACTGAAGCGATATTTACCCTGCCGATGGAAAGTACGTAGGTTTTTCATTTCATGTTACTCGCTCTTTTGTAATCTCCTCCGCTTGTGTTTTGCAAGATGCACCTGCGAATTGTGTGCCTGCAAAGATTTAGATTATACTCAAGATTCAAATTTTCTTCTTGGTTTGAGTAACCACATTTTCTCACGAAAAATTGTTAATATGTTTATTTTTATACTCCAGTGTTTTATATAATAACAGTAAAATTCTATGATGCTCTGTGCCACTCATTCCTGAATGACTTACTGTCCACCAGCAAGGCGGTCGTAGAGAAGTTAGTCACAGACAATAAATTAGGTAGCCTGCAATCGAGCTGCGGATTTTGTTCGTCTTCATGACCAATGCAAGCAAAATGCAGCACCATGGAGCAGTAAGATGTATGCGAGTGTCGTTGACTCTGTCATTGACATTATTCGAACTCAAATTGCAAACTAATGTATCAAATCAATCAGTCTAAACTAATGCTCATATTTTCATTGGAAGCAGGAGAAGCAAGTTAGAAATTTCTTAACGTCCATATATTGAACATCGGTTGCTTTTTGACCGAATGTGAACCTTTCAAGAGAACATTACAATGGACCTTCTATTTACGAATGTCAGATGTGTGGAGGCTGTGCTTGGATTGGCCATACAACTCTTCACCTCAGAGAAAATACACATTCGCGCGCTGGGATGATGTTCATGACTAAAGTTTGCTTAATGTCATACTTCCTGATTAAATTATTTATACGGCCAAGAGATGAGTTGATGCTAAGAACTTCTTTGGGATTCAACGCCACTCAAATGTTTTTTTATATTACAGACTTTAACAACGCTGCCGCTAAAAAGATGTACGACTCGACTTGAACTTATTGTAAAGTAATAGTTGCAACACTGAAGCCCGGCACATGACTTGATTGCAGGCGTTGCTATGCTCAACAAACCAACATCCGTTGACTTAGTACGTGATATACAATGATTTTTTCCTCCTCTTAGTTTATACAATGTAGTGTGAGCCGTTATTTAAGAATGTATTTAGGTATCCTTAATTACACATAGCATGCTTATAACTTGGTGTCATCCGAGGTGGGCTAATTTCGAGGGCTAAATTTTCTGAAATACAGACGACTTTCCTTAAGTTCTGGACAATAGCTGGACAATATTCTTAAAAACGAATCCTGAAACGATAAACCTGAGTAATGACAACATTAATAATAACGATGCATCGCACCTTATTTTAAAGGTTAGATATTGCAGCTTCAAATTATTGAACACTTTATTACGGAATAAATAATTTGATCTCATAGTTATTTAAGGGGACCGGCTACCCTAAAATTTTCAATTATGGCGTTTTTCGGTTTTTGGGCTCATCTGAAAGCTGGAATTCTGCTCTTTCCAATGGTACCACTGCCATCGCTGTACGTTAATATTTACGTTCATGACGTCTCTTTAAAGGGAAGCGGGTGAGAGAGTTCTTTAAGTAATTAGATATAAAGTAATTAGCTGCTGAAATCTTTGAATATAGTTTCTACTTGAGTTGTGCTGCAGTTACATGCTT